ACTTATAATTATATACATTTTTTAAGTTGTTATTGGTTGCACTACACTACATAAAGCTGAAGAGCAGCTTAAAGTGATGGATTTGACAATCAGTGCATTTTAAATTTGTGATACATGACTGAAAATGCTGCTAAACTGATTATTTCTCAAATTATCCTGTTGAAGTATTCATTACAGTGAGCAGTTACAATAGAGATAACTAAATGTGTTAAGCCAATTGTAGGAATACACTGTTTTGTTTGTAAAGTTTTTTATATCAAATGGACAATGATAAACAGAGCTTTTATTTATTTATTTTAAATATGAGAATGCTATGTGACATTGTAACATTAAGAATCCAGGATTATTGTTAAAGCCAAGTTTAAAAAAAAAACTGCACATCAAAAGTTTACATTGTTGTAATGTATTTGGAGATTTATTCAGCTGTGAAAATAAGATGTAGCCTACATATGTTGCTGTCTAATAAACTGTGTTCTTCCCATGCTTTCATGATCAAGTAAATAATTGATGATTAAGTAAATAAAGTGAAACCCCTGTATTTTGGGGAAATGGCCAACATTGCAAACATCTGAACTTTTAATCTCTTGAGGAGGTTCATGCATGTGCAATTCATTTCTCTGTTCTCTATTTATCGTGGAGAAGGGCGATTGTTGACTAAAAAGTTTCCATATGTATTTCCATACCACCCAACTTATGCATACTACCCAACGGTAGACTGTATAACTTTAGGTTATGTTTTAATGGGTATGAAAGTATAAGTATGAAAGGAAACATTAAAGCTGTGTATTTAAAATTGACAGCTGGGTTATTTTTGCCACTACATTAACTTCCCTCAACCTGGGAGCATAACCTGATTTATGCATATGCAAAAGATAATCCATTCTCTCGGTAGTTGTCTTCCTAACCCTTCTTGTCTGACTCTGTGACTCCGCTCCCAGCTGATTTGTTTATTTTATGCAGCAGTGTTGTCGAGCCGCGGTCTTTGACCTCCCCCTCAGCGGTTCATGAGGCTGTGCCCATACACTAACAGTTTGGTGTGCATATATTTTGGACCAATTTAAAATGTCAGCTGTAATCCCGAAAATATATTACTAAATATCTCGTTCATGTATATATTTTGTTTTAGAGGCTTGGGTCATGGTTTGGCCCGTCATCGGCCGTCAGCCAACTAACCACTGCTGTTTTGGCATACTCTGAGGATATTCTAGTAGGCTGCTTGTTTTTGCTCTCTCTTTTGGACCCTGGCCTTGTGAGCGGTTGTTGCCTGTTTACTTATCTGTTCTGGCCGTTTTTTGCTCATTCTAATGAGGATACACTCTAATAATGTTTAGGCTATCTATTTATGACTGTTAGATTCATTCCTAATGATAGCTGTCTGGTTTCCACACTCTCCCACCTGCAGTATCAAAATGTGTCTAATGGTTTACCTTAAGTTGCCATTTTTGTTTCATTGTTTTGTTTTGCTAATTAATTTTGTGTTTGTTTATTTCTTTGGTTATTACTTTTCATTATTGGTTGCCTGCATTGGTTTTAATGCATAGTAATTCATGGCATGATTTCATTAACTCCTATTTCTGTGTTGGTCAGGTGCTGAGGGCCTAAAGCAGCCAGTCTAGTTCCCTGGTGGTGGTTGCTTCACAATCCCTTTTTTTGTTGGTGTGTAGTGTCATGGGTTGTTATTTTAAGGACCCTTTTCCCCCTTTTGGTTCCCTGTTGCATGGTAAGCCTCAGCCCTGTCCTCCTTCCCTTGCCAAGTGCTATTCAATTCAATTCAAATAACTTTATTTGTCCCCGAGGGGCAATTCAAGGGCACACAGAGCAGTAAATTAACAACAGTACAGGTAAACTAAAACATTTTACCAAAAATATAAAGTATCAATTTAAATACAAAATTTAAAAATACAAAATAAAAAACAAAAACAGTAGAAATATAAGTGTACAGTGATCGGACTAACAGATGTAAACAGAAATAATGCAGTACTAACAGGTAAACAGAACTATATGCAGTGACTGTGATATACAGACTATATATATATATGTATTGTCTGCTTTGGTGGTGGGAGGGGGTTGGTTGGAGTTGAAAATATGTTTTAGGATGGGGGTTTAGGAGTTGAGGAGCTGGACAGCCCAGGGAACCAAGGTTGCTCTCCTGCAGCAGGGACAGCGAAGCCATCATCCTGAGTGGAGCCACTCGAACGCTTGGAAGAGAGTGTGTGAGGGGTCCTGCATGATCCAACCTGCTAACCTGAGTGTCTGCTGCTCATAGATGATTGACAGAGTCCTTTCAGGTAGTCCAATGATCTTAGAGCAGACTGTGACCGTGCTCTGCAGGCGGTTTCTGTTCTGGAGGCTGGTGGAGTGGAGCCAGCAGGTTATAGAGAATGTGACGATGTTCTCAATGAAGGAGTAGTAGAAGGTCAGGAGAATGTTCTTGCTGACTCCAAAAGAATTGAGCATCCTAAGGAGGTATTTCTGCTGCTGACGTTTCCTGAGAATCTCCTCTGTGTTGGAGGAGAATTTCAGCAGGCTGTCGAAGGTATTTGTACTCCTCTACTAGTTCGACAGGCTTCCCGTGGATTGTGGTGATTGCTGATGCAGCCAGTTCCCTCTGCTTGTTGGAGACAGTCACCACCATGTCTTTGGTCTTGTTGACATTCAGTTCGAGGCAGGAGCTGTCACACCACTCATCAAACTCCTGAAGAACTGGTCCATGGTGCTGAGAGGGGCCTGACAGCAGAGACAGGAGAACTGTGTCGTCCGCGTACTTTACCAGATGACAATTTGGCTGTGTGGTTCTGCAGTCATCGGTGTAGAAGATGAAGAACAGATGGTGAGAGCACGCAGCCCTGAGGGGAGCCAGTTGAGGTGTGTTGGAGGTCGGAGAAGGTAGATGGAAGCGGGTTGAAAGTTTGTCAGCCAGGATGTGAGGCTTCAGGGCGTTGAATGCAGAGGAGAAGTCTTCAAACACGAGTCTGGTGTTGGGATGCTCCAGGTGTTTGTGAACAGTGTCTATTAAGAATGTTTTTGCATCATCGACGCCTCTGCCTACGCAATAAGCAAATTGGAGCGGGTCCATCGGGGATTCGGTTGCTCTCATGGTGTGTTGTTTTATGATCCTCTCCATGGCCTTCATCATAAGAAACATAAGGGCCACAGGCCTGAGGTTGTTCAGAGATTTGGCGGGGCTTTTCTTGGGGATGGGGATAACTGTGGAGTGTTTCCTCAGCTGGAGAGTGGTGTGAGGACTGATGAAAAAGTATTCCTGTCAATGAGGATTTGGAAAAGCTCAAACCCAGTGTTTGTGGGGATGAGTTGAGTGGAGTAAGTATCTTGTAAAGGTTAGATGTTATTTCTGCTTGGCATTTTCAGCCTTTTGCACCTCCCACTGTGCCTTTTTGTTCAGCTGCAGGGTCATCAGCTGGAAACGTTCACTGACGTTTTTCCACCTATACCAGTACATCTCCCAGCGGTGGGGCAGTCGCATGTTGGGGCTGCTTGCTGCCACCCCTAGCAGTTCTGTCCCTATCTTTTTTCAGAAGAAGACAGATGTGAGACTCATACAATGTTTTTGGAAAAGTACTGTCATTAAGAGAGACATTTACCATACAGAGTAAAAGAGAGGCAACCGTGTCTATGTGGATTTTATAAAACTCAAAAGCCATCTGGGCTTCATGCTTTGCCATTAAGAAATGAACGAATGGCGGCTTTGATTTCTTCCAGTGCAAATTCAGATTCCATTTCCTACCTAGCCAGGTCAACAAGAAGAGGAATATCTAACACATTGAGAAAGTAAGCAATGTCAGCCTCAGTGGCTTTAGACTTAGAAGCACACAGCTGGCTGGAGAAACTAACAAATCTATCATTGTTTAGTTTTGGATCTGTTAGTATTTCTCCTGTAGGATAAGAGATTTTATGTATGGCCCTGTCAGCCTGCATGCCCCTCCTTGACCATCTGGCAAGCAGCCTATCGGCCTTATCACCTAACTCAAAGGGCTTTTGTTTTAGCTTACAGATGTGGTTTTTAACCTGCTCTCCAATAATATTATACATGTCTCCGACGACCTCGAAGCCCGCTCACAGCACTGTAACCTACAGGTCACTGCCATTAAAGAGGGACGTAAAGACAGCGAGCGCCCAGTCGAATTTATGGCCCACCTGCTTGCAGCGTCTCTGTGTTTGGATGAGGCTTTGGTACTGGACAGGGCGCATTGGTCATTACGGAGGAGGCAGAAGGATGGGCTCCCTCTCAGGGCATGGATGATCGGATGTCATTACTTCCAGGGACGAGAGAAAATATCGGGGAAAGCAAGAGCTCTGAAGCAAGTGACAACGGCGCGGCTTTCAGTGAGGTGCGAGGAATTCTGCATGGCTGTGAGGGGCTGCAAGCTGGCCTGTGGTACCCAGCAGAGCTCCAGATAACCATGAATGGCACCCGCAAACGTTTCAAGGCAGATCCCTGTCGTTTCAAAAACCCCATCTCATCTGCACACCAGTCTTTCTCAAGGATTGTTTTCTTCCTTATAGATAAAATACTTGCTGTGTCTGGTTTAATTTACAGGGCCATAATCAAGATCATCAAACATAGGAAACTTTAAAACCTTGTTGGGAATAGGAGAAGAAGGAAACAAATAGCTTTGGATAGACAGAGACACAGAAAGGAGCAGAACTTAGAGTAGATCAATTAAACATTAGTCCAACAGTACCTTTACCAGCAACACAACCTTGGATACTGCTTGCTGCCACAATAGATCTCACATTATTAGAAAAGAAGAACAAAGATAAGGAGTTTTATTTTAATCAACATTCGTCAGAAGAACTCTGCAATTAGGGCTATAGGATTTTATTGCAGTATCTTAGACAAATAAGTTGATTGAGAATATAACCTTTGTAATATTATCTTTTTCATTTACAGAAAAGCAGTATAGACGTTCTGATCCACACTACCAGTAGGTGGCGGAAATGCACCAATTCATTGTTTGACAACCGCAATAGATTCTCAAAGAAGAAGAAGAAGAACGCGTCAGTAGATACTGATACGTCACCAAAACGCTCGTTTTTCTTCTGGTGAGATTCTTCTGACAGTTCACAGCTTTTCGTTCAAGATGTTGAAGGCTGTTATTTTGATCGGAGGCCCCCAGAAAGGTGAGACAGAAATTCCTCGTTACCGTGTGTTTAAAGTAATCTGCACTTCGTTCGAGAGAAGCTATGTTGCTAAAGCTAACAAGCCTAGTCAAGCCCAATACGTGGCATAAGAGACACCTCTATAAAAACAAACTTATTTAACCATACATTGATCAAATCATTGATGACAAACTTACCAAAACAAAGGAGGGTCCAATTATATTCACACAGAACTTGTGTCAACTACAGTGAGTTTATGTTAGATAGCCTATTATAGGCTGCTTGTTCACTTAGCCAAGTTAAACTTCCCTTTAGTGTTCAGATTGAATTATATTTATTACTGTATTACATTTCTGAAAGGATATGTCTTTTGATACTAAAGAGATCATGGCTTCAAATGTATTTGTACAAAATTGGTGCATGTTAAAGGCTTTATATGTGATTTTTCACACTTACATATAATAGAAATCAAGTATATCCTCTGAAAATAACTCTGTGAGTCATGGCTGTCTACAATGGGTGTAACACCTGAGTCCCACTGTCTGTGATGCTTTCTGAGTTTTGAGTCATATCTTCAGTTTGTTTACATCGTCGGGACGGCCGGCTGGCTCCTCCCCTCTCGTATAAAAGTTGTTTAAATGAGGGACTAGAGAAAAGAAGAATAACATACTGTACTCACTTCGTTTCTAGATCACACTCATTTCAAGTAAACTCACATGCAGTGTGAAGATACGAGCTTAATAAAGAGCATGCTAACACAACAATGCACCTTGAGTTGTTTTGGTTTCATGCTGGTGCTCAAGGGCGACATCTGCTGGATAAACAAATCACATATAAAGCCTTTGAGGTTTGATAGATCGTTGAAACACTGGAAAAACGTAATCAGATGTAAAATGACCTTTATTGCTCTGCAGGCACGAGGTTCAGACCACTGTCATTTGAAGTCCCTAAACCCTTGTTTCCAGTAGCTGGTGTTCCCATGCTGCAACATCATATTGCAGCATGTGCCAAGGTGAGAGGCATCGCAATAAGTCATTGTTCTTTTAAGTATTAATAGACTATAAGATATAGGGCAGTTGTTAAAGTATGCTTGTTTAATGATAACATTGCAAATATGTACTCAAATTACTGATTTAAATGAGTGTACACATTCTTTCAATTATTTTTTCATTTGATTTTTCTGTTAAAATGTATGACCCATTATAGCATCCAATGTCTTGTGTTTATATTGTATGTACTCAAATACTCAAAGACCTTGTTGTCCCATGGCTGGTTGACGTTAGTAATTAATTTGTGTTTTTCAAGGTGCCAAATTTGAAGGAGATTTTGCTCATCGGCTTTTATCAGCCAAATGAAGAACTGACAAGGTTCCTGTTAAATGCACAGCAGGAGTTCAAAATATCTATCAGGTAAAAAAAAGAGTTCAAAACCAAACCAGGCAAAAAAAACAGGCTCTTAGCTACTTCATCAAACAGTTTGTTTCTTGCATACTTAACATTAATAGCAGACTAGCTTCTAACTTATTTAAGGGTGAGTTATGAGGGATAAAGTATGAAAATGAACTACTCTGGTGTCAAGTTTCCTAAATATATGTTTACAGTTCAACATTTTCTTTCTACAAAATTGTAGAAAAAAAAAAAAATCACATATAAATTGTGATGAGTTATGAATCGCTTTCTTTATTGAATTTGGCATTTTAAGAACCACTTAGTCTATTCCTTATTTTTGCATTATAACTTAATGTTTTCTGTGCAAGTGTATGCTGTAGTGCACTACCACTGCTGAATGATTGCAGGTATGCTGATATTTCTGATTCTTTTTTACCACAGGTATTTGCAGGAGTATGCAGCCCTGGGGACTGGTGGGGGCATCTATCACTTCCGAGATCAAATTGTTTCTGGCAGTCCAGAGGCTTTCTTTGTTTTGAATGCTGATGTTTGCTCAGCATTTCCTCTCAAAGAGATGCTCAGCTTCCAGAAGGAACACGGAGAACCAAACAGTTTTGTTATTCTTGCAACAACTGTGAGATTTCATTACTGATAGTTGCAACACTCTATAGTGACCTTTTTAAATGTGGTCAAAGTAAAATGGCAAAAAAATAATATATATATTGCATTTTACTTACTTGATTCCAAAATTGAATGTCCACTAAATGTTATTACCGTTCCTCTCTTTTCAGTCAAACAGAAAGCAGTCCATGAATTACGGCTGTATTGTTGAAAATGAGGAAACAAATGAGGTATTTAACCCTTTCAATCTTATATCCCTGATTATATCCTCCCAACTGTTTTACCTCCAAGCTTCTAACTATTACTGAAACACTCCTTTTTTTTTATTCAGGTCTTGCATTATGTTGAAAAGCCAAGTACATTTGTGAGTGACATCGTAAACTGTGGAATATACCTCTTTACCCCAGACATCTTCCAGCATATCGGCACTGTCTTTCAAAAGAATCAACAGGACATGTTGTTGTGAGTTGAAATCATCCAGCATGTGCATCTGTTTGTGACTGCATGATAATACCATTTATTCAATTTCTTTGGCGCTCTTCATTTGTCTTTTTTCCCTTCCCCTATCCTTTCTGCCATGATTTCTTTTCCTCACTCAATCATCAGCTATCCATATGATGGGTAAGTGGGTACATTCAGGCTGCATGGTGTAGTTTGAGAGCACTTAGTGGATTGAGATGGGATAGTTTGCTTTATTACTGTTGCCTGCGCCAGTTTTACCCCAACATTAAACACCCATTTTGCATGCAGCTTGGTGGTAATTATTTATTTATTACACAATATAGTTGTATTTGGTAAATGTTCTCTTTGAAATAGGCGTAACTTTTGAAGTCATGGGCTTAAAGGAAAAGTTTGAAATGTTTAGAAATATGTTTTGACAAAAAGGCAACAAGATTTTTGCCCCATTTTTAATAAATAAGATACAGCCATTAGATCTTAGCTAAGTAAAACAATATTAAAAGCAGTGAGAAATACCTAGCCTTGCTTTGTTCAAAGTAAATAAAAATCCATCTACCACAACCTCCTTGGATCACCAGTAATGTTCATTTTATTTGTCTGCATAAAAATAGAAAAAAATAACAATTTGCTGTTCTACAGCAGATTATGCTCTGTATTCTCAGTTCCTGTCAACTGCTCAGACACTGACGTGTTTTCAGATTTCAGTTTGTCTTCCTATTAAATAAATGTGATATGAGATGTTAGAAAGTGAACTTTAGAGCAACTGGTGGGTGGATTTTTTAACCTCAGGATAGATATTTCCACATCTTTCAGGCATTTATGCTAGCTTCATATTCAAAGTCTATCTTTGCCTCTTGGTCAGAGCCCAACTGAATATCCAAAAGCTTAAAAGTGGGTATATGTTAAAATAGGTTACAGGACATTTGGATTTTGATTTGTAAAATCTTTATTGTCCCCGAGGGGCAATTTGGTTTGCAACAGAGGTCCATACATGCAATACATTCATTAAAAATTTTTAAAAAAAAGACATGTAGAGAGGAAATGGGTTTTAATATAGTAGAAGACATTTTAAACATGTGAAATACCTGAAATAAAACTGTATAAAGGAGTGCTTTCTGGTCTCCAAAAAAGTGTAGGTTTGAAGTGCTCTTTTAATTGGAATGTAAGCCATCATAGAAAAATCAAGAAAACTCAGAGGAACTCTCTTTTGGAAAAACTAAAATGCTTATATTTTCACAGCATTTTGACTTTACAAAAACATTATTGCATCAAGTCTTCATCAACAGATGAAAAAGGAACACTAAGCCATTTAAACTGGTACTCCATCAATTGGAATTTTCCACTAGAGTTGTGGCCTGCAGGAGGTTCCCAAGAGATGGCATGATTTTGGCCAATTTATGTTTACATTCCTACATTCATCACAATATTTTTTCTATGCTGATGATAACAAAAAGATACAGAGGAGGATTAGGGTCACATTATTATTTTTTTTTTATTATTTTTTTAATTATGAGAATAAAGTCGTAAATTTAGTAGATTAAAATCGTAAATTTAGGAGAATAAAGTTGTAAATTTATGAGATTAAAATCGTAAATTTACGAGAATAAAGTCATAAATTTAGGAGAATAATCTGGCAAATGAACAAGCTCGAGACCAGCCTGCACGAAAATGATGAAAGTAGAACTCTTAAAGTATTTTCCTCTGCAGACACAACTTCCTCCAAGTCAGTGTGGTTCTTTCTTCGGAAAAGCCACAGTTTCTTGCAGTATCTTTTCAGGGTGCTGATATTTTATGACAGTGTGAAGATGATGTGCCAAAAGCATGTGTGGTTTCATATTTGCAAAAGTAAAGCCCCAACACAACTATTTTTGTCTGATATCTGCACTTGTCTGCCTTGTTAAAGTGTCTCATGTGCAGAGACAGTTTGTGTCCTCTTCATCATTTTACAGTCTTGCAAGTTGAAGTGAAAACTTCTGTTGAACTAACTGTTTTTACCGACTACACAAGGAAGTAGCCTATTTCCTTATTAGTGAAACCTTTAGGATAAGATGCTCCATGTTTGTCATTTTATAACAGGATGCTGCTGCTCTTCTGATATAGACTAAAATAACGACTTTATTCTTTTATTCTTTAAAGACTTTAAGAGTTCTACTTTCATCATTTTCACGCAGGCTGGTCTCAAACTCGTTAAAATATCCTTATATCAAGAATATTCTCGTAAATTAATGCAGAGGGTGGCGAAACAGGTGTTCCATTGAACAGTGCGACCCATGGAGATGTGCTACCATGCAGATCTGTGCAGTTCAGTGACCATTATTTGATAGGGGATTCTTATCTATTGAAAAAAGTTTTTTTTATTGTAGAGTATCAAAACTGCTTCTTTTTTCCTTATAGTGCAAATGCAGCGAGTATTGGTGCTCTATACAGTGATTCTGTACAAGGAGCATTATTTGATAGGGGTTAATTGACCATCGGAATACGCTTCTCCTGAATTCTTATTACCATATTACTAAAACCTGCTCCCCATACTCTGATGATGTATATGGAGTGTGTAATTAATAAATAAATATAAAGTTATTTTGTTCTGGTAGCATTATTTGATAGGGGAAAGAAATAGCCACCACTATCGTTTAACACCATGGTAGCTTTTTTCAACAAGGCAGCACATCTCCACAGAACAGCTGAAGACGATGTGAGAAGTCAAAGAACCATGTCGACTGACAAGGTCCAATTTTTACTTTAATCCGGTTTATTACTCAGTCACTCCCTCTTTTTGTCTTCTTAGCTTTGTATGTTGCCATCGTCTTCCATCTTAGCCTCAGCCATTCAAACAGTACTAAGACTGGCTACTCTCTTCTTCTAAGCGGAAGACTGGTGTGCGAACTTGTACCGTAAAGCTGTACACAATTTAAGCGAGAGAAATTAGGCCCACTGCCAAAGTTACATAGCACTGAAAGTAGGCTGTTGGGTTGACCTGGTGTATAAACAGCAGGGGCACTCTTGTCAAAATAGGATCTACACAGTTTTCCATCTTTTGGAAATGTTCCTCTTTAAATTTATAACCAAAGGTCAAACCCCACTGTGCATAATTCACCTGACATCACTTTCACTTGCACTGTTTCATGTTCGGACTCGGCCAAGCCACTATGCTAGAGATACTGATCCATATGGATGATGTAGATGTTTTTGAATCGCTGGGTAATAAGCTTTGGTATCAACCCAGCACTGACACCAGGGATGTTTCATATTTATCCGGAACTACTAATTTTACGACCTGAAATGTTGACCCGCGTTACTTAAAGGACAAATGACAGTGTTTTTCACACACAGACTATATTTGTCACATATGTTATATTTACAACTGCCAAAGTATAGTTTCCAACCATTTTTGAATTAATCTTATTTTAACCATATAAGATAGATAATGAGATGTACCCCATGTTCATGTTGCAGGCAATCAAAGAGAGACTTCTGGTGTTAAATCACTTTTAAGATGCATTGATTAATGTGCAGTGTCTCATGTTAAATATCAACCATATGCATTTTCAAATGGGAATTATGTTGTTGGTGTGACTGTATGAAACATGCTCTGCCCCACTTTTGATAAAAAATCAAGATTTCAGTCATAACACAAATGTCACTTTTTCCCGAATACACAGAAATTTTAATCACATCCTGGATTATGTTTAAATGTTCGTATTGTTTCCAATTATTAAAAGTGATTTAACAGCTAAATTAAATAAATAAAGCGATTTTAAAAAAGACAAAAGAGGACACAAGACTAGACCATAATATTAAAATCTTGGAAAAAGACACTAAGGGCACGGTCACACTGGCCATCCGTACCGTATCAGATACAGCCATAAATAAATTAAAAAATAAAAGAGACGCGTGGCCGCACATCAGAGAACAACACAGAGAACATGACAGCTACTTTGTGGTTTTTATTGAGTCATTTTAGTCAGATACAGCCATGAAACTCTGGATTTCTCCATAATGAAGGCTGTCAGCGTTGTTTACCCGCGTGCTTGTGCTCGTGCATGAAGTGTGCCGTGCTGAAGCACACCTCTCCAAAGTGTGCCAAAGCCAAGGAAGTGTACCGAGCCTGAGCACGATACGGAGCGGTCACACTGGTCAAACAAACTGGACTTTAGGGTTGAAGCGTGCTTGGGCACGGTACGGATGGCCAGTGTGACCGCGCCCTAATTGGTGCATAAAATTGACTAGATGATCAGTATGAATGAACATTTTCTTGTGTAGAGGTGCTGACTACTAAAAGGCAACTATTTAACTATTTCATGGCATTGACCAACAGGTTGTTGCTGAAGACAATAAGATATTTGAAAGAAAATTAACTTGTAGGCACTCCTTTTGTGTGTTTACAAATTGAATACATTTTTCTACTTTTTGTACGTCTGGTGTGTTTGTAGGGGGGGAATTTTCCTGCTCTTCTGTTTTTTTGCAATTGTTTTTATGATTCACTGAAATTTAAGTAAGTGGAATTTGAAGTTTATAGTACTTACTGAATTTCAATTTTGTATGTTACTTTATTTTTTTTTATTCAGTAATTGAAGAGTGTTTCCCAAGTAGGTAAACTGTTAAATTTTCTCTTCTAGAGAGGAGCCAACCAATGGATGGCACAGAGCAGAGGTCATCAGGCTGGAGCAGGACATTTTCACTTCCCTCGCAGGACAGGGCAAGCTCTTTGTATATAAAACCCTCAGCTTCTGGAGCCAGATTAAATCTGCAGGGTGAGTGCATATTCCATGAATCTTGTCACATTAACTAGAGCCTAAAACATTTCTTGAAACATACCCTTTAACCAGTAAAATTTTACTGATGAAGACATATTGGACTTTAGATAGATGCAAGCTTCTCACCTAGCTTAAAATATATTTTAAAAGATGTGCCATTTTCAAGGCATCAATATTTGTTATTTTCAAATCATATCTCACTGCCTTGATTGATAAATATTGTGTGTTCCTACAAACATTAAACTCTGTAAGCCACGAGTTTGAAGTACAGCTGAAATATAATGCGCTATGCCTTCAAAAAGTTTTCCTTTTTTATCTTTTCCCAGTTCTGCCATTTATGCCAGCCGATTGTACCTCAACCAGTACCACATATCTCATCCTGAAAGACTGGCCTCAGATAAAGCTGGAGGACCCAAAATAAGTGGTACTATTATTAATCTTCTCTTGCATTATTTATTTGTTGGAGACATAATAATTCATACTTCCTTTTATTCCTCAAGGCAATGTCTATATTCATCCTACAGCCACTATTGACCCCACTGCTATGGTAAGCAATTATACACAGCTACGTTTTATTTATTTAAACCAATGCTGTTGTGATTGTGAAAAAAGTAAGCTGTTTTCTTTTTTTTTTTCTTTTTTTTTACCAGTTGGGTCCTAATGTCTCTATTGGCACCGGAGTGACTATTGGCGCTGGAGTGCGAGTAAGAGAATCCATCATACTCCATGGTGCAACTCTACAGGTGAGCTCTTGTGAATTAGCTTTTTATCACTGCTTTTATGAGGGAGGCCAAAGAAGAAGAAAAAAACGCTTACATTTTATTGTTGGTTTAAGGTTTTAAATGAATAGCACTTAGCTGAAAATATCAACCATGAGGTTTGGAAATGAGATTCAAACGAACAGCTAAAATCTCCTGGCCCCGTTTTCAAAAACATTCTGAGAATCCTCTTAGAGACCTCCTACTGTAACTAACCTTTAAAATCCTAACAAGGATATTTTTTCGTATCGTAAATAATAAACATGTTCAATATTTACGATCAGTGTGAGATTACACGTTTTGATGGTCGAGACTGGTTGTAGGTGAATGAATCGGTTAGTGTGTGGTGTGCTGAGTTGGTCGTCTCATTGCACACCACACACTATAAGAACTGAACTGTTATTGATTCTTTGATTTGTTGTCATGTGTAAAAATCTTTTAGTGTGTGCCAGGCCTGAGACATGCATGTAGGCCTGGGCGATATAACTCTAAAACTGTTTTCACGATAAAACATTTCATATCGAACGATATCGATAATTATCACGATAAATGTCAAATCATTATTTCTTTCAAATTGAAAGTCTGATTTTTGCTTCTGAATGAAAGTTGAAGGAACCAGATGGTTATTGTGGTTCAATTATTATTTATTGTCAGACTATGATAAACTCTACTTGAACAGAAGAACATTTCACACTCACGCCCGCTGCTTGCTGAGGGCACATGTTTGGTCATTTCTTTCCTCCGCTGTTTACAGAGCACGCTGCTCTGTGTTTGTATGGACTGTAAATATACCAAATATCTCCAAGCTCCAAAGTTGAGCGACCTTTCATGTCGACAGTGTTTTCTGCTGCTTTGAGCCTGTAGGCTCAGTGTTTTTCTTTGGTGTCACTATCGCTCAGCTCAACAGTGATTCTCTGGTTGCGGAAGTAAATTTCCCGATTCAAATCCTCCCTTGATTATTCACAAAATCCTTATATCAAGAGATTGGCTGCTGGAACCAAGACAGCCAGCTACCCCAATACTTGTGACTATAGTACATTTCATTCGGCACCAAAACGGCATTAAAAAACTGAAGCAAAGGTACAAGACTGTGTACATGATTTCTGTTCGAATTTAAGGAACTACCCATCACACAATCCATTGCGAACGATATAGCCGCCGATAACGCAAAATGAAGATTTTTGCGTCATCAGAGGCTCCTTTTTAGACTTAGAAATACAAAGATTTCCCGTCTCAGGGAAAAATGAGGGCGGGATGCACAACCATTCAAAAATACTACCAGGTTTCTAATGATACAAAGCTTAATACAAATGGGTGAAGTATCTCTTTAAGTGGGCATGAGCCATATTTTCCCCCTGCCCTTTTACTGCATCTGGCATGTTATCATTTCATAAATTAAAAATGTACCAACTATGTTAAATAACATGGACATTAGCACATTAATCGGGGGCTTTCCTTTAGAGTTAGTTTGGGTATTTGAAGTGGTGTATAGAGAACAAACCATATGACATATTTTTGTAGGCCAACCCGGATGTAGCATCGCCATGGGGTCTAACGAGAATTCGCCCTATGGGATTTTTGCATTGGATTTTGGATCATTGCAGAAAATAAGCTCTGTGGCAAACACACGTTGCTGATGCGTAGGCGTTTTGTTCAGCAGGATAATCTTCACAGATGAACACCATCTTTATGATGTTTGAAGCGTTAATGCAGCCGACAGAAGTAAAAAGCTAACGTTATGCTACAAGTGAACTACACCACAGTCGGATGATATTGATGTCACTACCGTTGTGCTTCAGACGATCCCCGATAAACTAATCTGCGTAGCCTAATAAATTGTTTATTAACCTAATATTTGCCTTAACCCAAAGATTAAACCTACAGGAGACATCTTAGACTAGTGAGAGAGTTCCCGGCATTTGTGTCCGGCGTGATGACGTTTAATGTCCCCGACAACCACTGTAGTCTCATTTAGCCACTTTTTAGCAACCGCTGTTGCGTTAAGTACGCGTAAAAAGTTCGAAATTCACAAGTGGGGGTATTATCTAACGTAATTTATGTGGTCTAACAATATGCCAAAATCTCTTAAGCTTTTGTTAACCACAGACCTTATTTCAGGTGTTTTACCACAAACACATTCATAATTCCCATTGACTATTAGATGATAGACCCCATAACGCTCAAATGCTAACTTACTTCCGGGTTTTAGGACTCATTCCTGTGGTGCACTATTATGGTACTTCTCAATAGTCAAAACAACACAAGAAACATGTAGCCTACTTTAGTCACGTAAATAGTCCTACATGTAAAAAAAACTCACACTGGGATTTAAAATATTTCACATCAGACAACTCCTTTCTTTAGTACTATGCTTTGGTCTGGTTCTGTATTCCTTTATGCCATGCGTTTAAATACAGGGCAATCATACAGATAGAAACACAGTTCTGAAGGTAAGACCTGTAAAATTTTGGGGGGAAAATTATATAGTGCATACTTACACTATAGTGTTTTTTTTATTTAAAGTACCATTATGTAAAATATCTACCTCATGAAATAATAAAATTACCTTACTATATCATCACACATTAAGGATGCTAAACATGCGATGTTTTAATATTGGGTTCTCGCACAACAATGCAACAGTAAGTCCTCCCAAGTTTACATTTTGGAACAGAAGGGTCTGTTTTGTTTTGTTTTGACAGGGGCATGTAAGTGGTTTAAAGGTATCCCATACAGCTGTTTTTGACGTGCATCGGTTTACTAGGCAAAAAGCAAACCAACAGGTGTTGCAGAGATGGAAGCGTGCAAGCAAACTGGTTCAGATATAACTGATTCTACCCAACCTAAAAAGCCGCTGCATTTTTATAATAAGATGGAGAGAGGTTAGAATGCAGAAAGGTTTGAAGACGGATGCAGAGCTAGTTAAACACTGAAGCTTCAATGTCCATGACTTGTGTGCACATCAACATTAGGAAGGAGGAGGCAAGGGGAAACGGCTCTCCTCAATGTTTTGCATTTGGACTGCAGTACCCATTTTAAACGCTAGGTGTCAGAATTACATATGGCTCCTTTAGTAGTACACCTACTATTGATGAGTGCCTTATATAACCCTACCTACAAAAGGAAAAAAAAATGGCTCCTCAATCACAAAAGATATGTCCAAAGAGACATGGGATTAAAACATTTGAACTGAATATATTTTCTGTCATTTTGCTGTTTCTGTAGGACCATTGCTGTGTTTTGAACAGCATTGTTGGATGGGACAGCACCATTGGCAAGTGGGCAAGAGTAGAAGGAACGCCAAGTGACCCCAACCCTAATGATCCCTTTGCAAAGATTGACAGTGAGACCCTCTTCAGAGAGGGAAAACTCACACCCTCAATTACTATTTTGGGTAAGTATGGTCATCCCAGAAACTTTCACAGATTAGAAGACACAATTGAGCATACATTTGTCTCTTCATTTTCTCACAAATAAGAGGTTTGAGTTACAGCTGAAATATAATGTGTTATGTCCTTTTTACTTTAAAATACTGTACAGACTGAATACAGCCTTTCTTTTTCTGTTCAGGTTGTAATGTGACCATCCCCTCTGAGGTGATCATTCTCAACTCAATTGTCCTCCCACACAAAGACCTCAATCGCAGCTTCAAAAACCAAATTATTCTTTAGTAAATCTTCCTAACGCTTCTGCCCACTGGGTGAGTGCAATTAAGGATCCACACTTACTCTGCCCCAGAGTAACTGTCTATAAGATGTTTAAAATGATGGGACATTCAAATAAGGTACATTCAGTGAATAAAAAAAAAAAGATACAACTTTTGTATATTTGTCCCTTATGCACCTTTTGAAGAGTGCTGGCATGCAAGAGCAACATACTGTTATTTTTCCTTTACAAAGTTCTAGAATGGTTGCATCAGTGTAATATATTTGGTTCAATGTATGTAATATGATGTTAAAAAAATAAATACATTTAAAGACTAAGCTTTGCTTCTGAAGGTTACTCTTGAGAAACTTGTTACTTCAATATGTGAAGCAATCATTCGGAAAAAAAAGAAATGGTTACTTACATTTTCTTTTTAAAGACAATTATTATAAAGATCTTTTAGTATTTTGTATGGTCTCAGATATTTTCTACAGCCAAAATAATTAAGATGGCTTGGAATTTCAGCAGATATCAAGTGGTGCATTGCAATCAGAAGAGAAGTTTATTGATACTGCCCTCTGATCACAGCACTTTGAGAGGACTGATGAGAATTGTAAGAGTGCTTCAAAAAGGAGTTTAAGTATCTTGTGGTGTTGAGGGTGAGATATTGACAGGTGGATTGGCAGAAATGTGTGCATTTGTCCTGAACTGTTGTGGTGAAGAGGTAGCTGAGCCTGAAAGAATAAGATTGCCTATACAGGCGGCCGGAATGAGTTTCCACAGGAGGTTAGCTGGGCTCAGCCCTCGATAAAACAGTTACTATAATTATCTGGATATTATTTTTTTAACATAAATATAACAAATGTTTGATTAAAACCTGTAATTACACAACCCAAACACGAAAGGGGGCAGTAATGAACCTTGAACGCTAGTTGCCACCCAACGTTAAAGAGAAGGGAAAAGAAATACGACAAACAGCCAATCATGTCGCAGGGAAATGGGTGGGAAGGCATACTCTACGTTTACTCCGCTGCTTCAGGCGAGGACACTAAGCATTGTGCTGGAGCACCAGACTCACAGTTTGATGGGCATATACCCAACGACAAATTGGGCTTTTTTGGATTTTCTCCTGGACTTCTACACCCACTCATGATAGCCAAGTTTTTCGCTGTGAGTTACGCATTAGTAGCCTCAATGAATGCACCTGACTGGATAAACGTGCGGCTAGTTTGGGTGGTACCTGGACTCATTTGCAGAGAAAAGAGCTCTGGTCTATCTGTCAATTCCGATGTTCAGCCACAGGATGTCGATGTTGAATAGGATTCTGAAAAGGAAAAACTAGTTATCAGACCCACTGAAAAAGGCATGGTGTAGTCATTGAAACTTGTCAGAAGTCAAAAAACTCTCAATGTAAACAAGCTAAGAAGTCAATGGAAATGCTGAAAGAGCTCATGAAATTGAATTAAAATGCAACTGATGTCAAATTTAACTTGGAACAATTAATAAAACTCATGGCTCATGTCATGAAGCCAAAGAAAATCATGAGTCACTGATGAGTTTGCCACTGCCTGAAAATGAACGTGAAAGGCTGCTCTAGTTCCAGAGTATCTGATGGGATGAACTCTTATTTAAGAAAAGCAACTTCTCAAAAGGAAATATCAGCTAAGTTAAAAGCTCCTGCAAGTGAATATTAACCTGATCAAGTGCAACAAGGATGGGATATGTGGAAGGAAACTGAATCTTTCTCTCAGCAACAGGTTGTTATACCAAAAATAACAACTCATGGACCATCAGTTAAAGCTCATGATATGACCCATATAACCCAATACTCACAGGCATAAAGTACGGACTCTTATCCAGGTACAAGGTGTACAAAAGCACTACATCGCCTGTACTTAATTCTGTTAACCAGATCACAGATCCAGATCACAAATCCTCTTCACAGTGATTTTATACACTGTAAATTTGTCTTTCTAATGTTAATGTGATCTATGTATTGTTACTTTGTTGTTTTTATCTCAGCTTTGTAAGGGCCTGAAATGTAGGATTAAAAGGAGTCAGAAGAAATACGCCTGCAAGGAAATCAGCAGCGTCGGTGTGGACAACCTAACACCAGCGGAGTGTTCAATAATTCATTTAAACATCTGTGATATGTAACGTACGTAATCTATGCTGTAATATAATCACAATGTTTTACTTTCGGTTTTAAAAGACGTGGTGAGACCATATGATCGCTACAGTAGGCTATAGCCTAGTGTGTTGCAGCTCATAAAAGAAGCAGCACCCGGACCCCAGCGTGAAATAATCTCAGACTGAGGAGCAAGTGGCTTCTTTCATCGGTTCAGCCTCAATGTCAGGCACAAATGGTACAGGCGAACCTGCATCTGTGTCGGATAACGTCGGCTGCACAAACGGGCTCCCTGCTTGCCATTTATGAGACTTTAAAAGAGATTAATTAAAAACCTGAAACGTGTTTGACCAAACTGTCTGTAATGTGTATTTCTCATCTGAATAACTCACTTTCCAAACATAAAAATGTAACACTTACATGAAAGGTCCTATCTCCGTTTTACAGCCCCAGATTATGTTATTATGTCAAATGTAGTCTGTGCATCAGCTGTGCGTAATTACACATGTGGCACATCAGCGTATTATTTATTATTTAAATATTTCATATTTCAGAGGCTAAAATGTGTATTTAGTTTCCTCCAGATATTTTCTGTCCTCTTAAAGTAACTGTTTTTAGTTTTTTCTGTTTAAATTTCTCTCAATATTTGCAGCAGTGATATCCACTACACTACACTCACACAATACACACACACATACGCGCGCAAACATACACACCACACACACACACACACACACACACACACACACACACACACACACACTACATTACACTCATACACACACACACACATATATATATTTGCATTAATAGCTCTGTCTGTGTTTATTTTCTTAATTTGCCAGGCTAGTAACTTACTGGGTTTTTCACCCTGGTCATAGAAAGATTGTTTCAGTCTAATTATGCTGTTTTCAGCTTTCTTAGTATTCTTAGGATGCTGAGTAACATGAGTATTCCTTCTTTGTTGGATTTTGACTCCTCCATGGATCACAAAGGTTTAGGTCTTTCATGAACTGATTAATTTTCTTTCTACTATGAGTGTGTGAGGTGTCTGCCCCAGATGACCGATCAAGTCTAGGATTCAATGTGCAGTTAAAATCGCCTGCCATAATTATTTTATTTTTATTGAAATGGTACAGATTTGTGAATCAACACCAAAGTTCCTTTAGAATGAGAAGAGAAACAAGAAGCGAGAACCTGACCCGACCATCTGCTCCGCACCTTTAACAATTCGTCCTTTAGTAAGTGGGTCTCCTGAATAAAAACAGTTGAAGCGTCAAGATGCTTAAGCCTAGTGATAACCTGTTTCAATTTTGTTAATCTAATCAGGCCCCGCACATTCCAAGATGTGAATTTTATTATCCTATCCGAAGACATCTAAACCCCATATTTCAATACTTTGTGAGGCAAGTAAACAAAGTTACATCGTAGATTGAACTGAGCTCACAAATCTATGTGTCTTCTCAGCGCCATAACCTCGCCCCCCTTTAGCACTTATCTTAGCACTTATTTATTTATTTATTGTTTGATGTGTTTTAATTTATTCTGAGCACTTTATATATGCATACATTTTTTAGACAGTTTTATGGGTCATATTCTTTCAATTCAGAGCACTTTTAAGGTCTTTCTTTTATCTAATATTTATACTTCCTTTAAGGTTATTTATATATTTATTTAGCATTGGCCGTCACCTGGACATTCCTCAGATAGTTTTATCAGAGGCCCTGGGACACCGGAGGCTTTTAATAATAGAGCTGCGCCTGCCTCTCCTGCACAGTGGTCTGGTCACCTTTTTATCCAAATCTTAATACTGTAGAGGGCTTTTATGAAACACCGTTGTGAGGTTTTTGAGCCCGTGCCCCTCTTAGCGTACCCCAGAGGACGCTGTGCCCCCTACCTAACCTAACCCTGTCTTCCTGGGGGGAGGGAGTGGGAAAAACAGGGGGATGGATTCAACGCATGATCAGGAAGCTGTTGAACTTTCAAAAAAAATAATTAACTTTTTTTCCAAATAATAAACCTTGGGGGTTTGGAAAATGGATATAATGGTGTTTGTTCTTTTTCCCATCTTTAAGTGGTGTAAGTCTAACTAAGCATGTTGAGGTAAACAATTACAAAAGCCTAATGTAATGATATTAAAAAGGGAATTTTTACTAAGAGTCAAAGTTTGGCTAAGAATAACACTCATTGGAATTAAATAAAATAATTAATTTCATCAAGTAAGGTAAAGTAAATTCTGAATAACACTTTAAAAACTTAAGTGTCAAATGAAAGTAACGCTGGGGTGTTATTTCCTTCATGGAGTCAAAACTTGATTAACACTTCTCAGTGAACTGTTGCATGAAATATTAAGTCTCACCAGAGTTTAATTGACTCTGATAATCCAACGCTACGTTGAGTGTAACTTTAATACTCTGAAGAAAGCGACCACTTGTTCACTGACTCACCCCCTCTTGAAGTGCTGAATCTACACTGCTGATTTTACAGTGTAGGAAGTATCTTCAATATCAAACTTTGTAAAATTATACAATGAAAGTACTATTGATATTAGGCAATAGTGTCATTTGGTTCTACAAATGAACCTGTCTACAGACAACCCTTATCTGGTTACAGAGAGCTGCCTTCGAGAATAACGTTATAAAATGCAACACTGAATCTTTGCAAGCCCCTCCCTATGGTGTCTGTATTGTTCTGTTTGCATTGTGGAAAATAAAAAAGAGTGAAATCTTTGGAGCAAATAAAGTTATAATTTTCCTTTTTGCCTTTCACTTTATGCAGTCAGAGCTGAAGACTTGAGACCTCCTTCAGACTACAAAGAGCTCTGCATGATGTGTCTCTATGTCTTTATGTTTCAACTGCCTTTATTAACTCTTTGATTCGACCTCTTCTAACAACATGCAGAAATCATCAGAGGCTTTCTGACTTCCCCCCTCTCTCCCTCCAATAGTGTCTAAAGAAACTCAGTGTCAGGAAACACATCAAATTGCTCAGCAAATAAAGAAATACATAGGAACAAGATGAAGACATGAATGAATAGTTAAGTAAAACTTTCATTTATCATGATATATTTATGTTGGTGACCTTAATGACCAAACAACCTTGATAGGGGAGATGACATAAAACACTAAAAATTGCTCTCATGAGGTTGTTTTTGTCCTTCAGGAAATGGTTGCAGAAGTTAGAGACGGCTGGTATGAAGAAACCACGTGATGAATCTTACTTCCTCTAACTGTCTGCTCTTTTGTGATCAGGGGCGCAGAGATGGCGGGTACGAGGTAAGATCACATTTGAATCATTTGGTTCGTCTCTAACTGTTTATGTGGAGTCTGGGGTTTGGGATTTAGCACATCCTCCCTGACGCTCTGCAGGACTGAACTGATGTTTAATGGATGAAACGGACATTTGAATGAACTGTTTGTTACAGATATCAGCGGCTTCCTCCTGGTTTTGATCAAGTTCAAACTGTTGTTCTCATAATGTGAGGTGGTGGAAATAAGACTTGAGCTTCCGTGTTGAGGCTTTTGCTTGTTTCCTGTAACTGAAGCTTCAGGAGGGTTTCAGTTATGTGATGGCAGATGCTGCACTGTTTTATCTCACGGTCTGTTACTTTAAAAGTTTTGAACAAGGAGAACGGTGATGCTTCAAATATCTGCATTTCTTCCCATATTTTAGATTATACATATTAACGAGGAGCATCATCTCTTCTGCGTTTTATCCAGTTTCCTGAAAGATCGTTTGTTACAGTATGTTGTATGTTCTGTTTAGAATGTTAAATATTCATTATTTATAGATGTCAGTCAAGATGACATTCAATCCACTTTGACCCAGACATCTTCATTGAATCTATAACAGAGTTTAAACCTGTTAGTAACTTTCAGGGCTATCGCCCTTTGTTGTTATCCAACTGATCCTGCAGTTAAATGAATATCGGATCCATCTCTTCAACACTGAGGGGCCCCTGCGTGTCAGCCTGCAGGTCTGGGGCCCACACTTCATAAGTGAAGCCCAGATCGTTTTTATTAATTTATGCAATTTTTTTTTATTTTTCTTTGTTAAAGCTCAGGTCTGCCTGGTGTCATTTTTAGCCTCTCTTATTGTTTGCATTCAGAAGGACTGAAGTTGTGCAACAACAGTGAAGAAATCAGAGCTGCAAACAGGAACCTGAACACAACACAGTCCAACACTCATCAGACAAAGCTAACCCTAACAGACATACCCTAACCCGAAACAAAAGGTCCAACTCTTACCAGACTTGAAGTGGACGTGCTCAGAATTGAACAGACATATAACTGAAAGAAGAACGACGGTTTACTCGTTAAGTTTCGAATAACATGTTAAGTTTGCCTAATAACATTTCTGATATTAGGCATCTACAGGCTTGCTCCAACAATATTCCGTTGTACTTGTACAGTGACAATAAAGGTATCTTATCTTACCTTATCTTGTTCACTTTGGATCCCCACTGCAGAGTCCAAATAAAAATACAATCACAGATACAGTTCATTATCCTTTTAACTTCACTTATTCTACATTAGTCTGACAAATATCATTCACATACAACATGTTTTGTTGTATGTTGTAGTGAGTTCTTCAATCTCTTTGAAAAACTAATCTTATAAGTGATCTGGGTTCAATGTAGTGTCACTTTATCTCAGTATAACATCTCCTGCCCATGGCAGTTCTCCTTACAGCATTTTATTTACGCAGGGTTAACTTTAAGCACCCAATAAAGGCGTGTTTCATAATTGTGTTTATTATTTATTTATGTAGGTTTTCCCATAAACTAGACCAGGCTACTGGTCTCACATCCAACCTGGTCCATGACCATGCATCTTTTATCTTAAGATATAATGTAAAATTCTCAGTTTTTTTATTTTCATCCTTTTAAGTTGTTCTCATAGCAACATTTCTACAAATTATTAGCAGCATTGAAGCCATAGGGAGAGTGTAACGGGTTGTATACAGACCACATAGCAGCACACAGCAGAAGAAGGATCAGTCGATTGACTGGTTCAGCAGATACAGAAATATACAGTTTACAGATAAAACTGCAAAGTCCATGTTAAACGCTGTAACAGTCCCATGCAACAGCACACAGAAGGGGAACTGTTGAGGGGCAAGCAGGAGACCTGGCCAGCACCAGATAATAATCCTTAAAAACAAAGTCCAGAGAGTGTACGGCAAAAACCATACAATGCCAGAGAAAGAGAGGCAGGAAGTAAAATGTCCTCAGGTTTCACACGCAGTGAAAAGTGAACAGTGTATTCACACGGGGAGTCTCTGAGCCACGGGTATAAAAAGGCGAGTAATAAGGGAAAACTGTGTGGGTGCAGGGAAACTTCAAGCAGCCAAGGAGAGAGGCAGACAGAAATCAGGGTTGCAGATGCAGAAATCGCAGTCAGGGCCAGAAGGCTGAGGGGATTTCTGTGATAACAACAATGCACGCAGGTCAGAGGCAGTCAAGGTCAAGGTCAGGGACAGGGACAGGGACAGGGACAGGGACAGGGACAGGGACAGGGACTCAGCCCAAGAGTGCTGCAGAGTCTTGCATGACATAACAAAGAATGATCTGGCAGTGTCTGCGTGAATTGGAGAAGCTTTTAAACTGGTTTGATTGTAGATGAGAGTAAGCTGTGTACACAGGTGAGCTGATCTTGATGAGGTGGGCGTGGCCAGCAGGCTGAGAGGAGAAGTTGAGTGCAGGCAGGTGAACAGAGGAGCAAGACTGTGACAGAGAAACAGATGTTTGATATTTACAGCTCTTGATGTAATATTGATATAATATCTATTCTCTAAATATTGTAAATATAAATAAGTTATATGTCAGTTAACTGGTAGGGTTGAACGATGTATCGTTTTACCATCCAAATTGCGATGTGTGCATGTGCAATAGTCAAATGGCTGCCACTTTTTTTGTTGTTTGATGCAAAGAAAAAACACCTGTTTTGTCACTTCCTATGACTAAGCTACGATCAAAGTGTGTCAGATATGACCTTCAGGAGTCAGAGAACAGCTCGTTGTGCATGCAGAGTCTATTTGTCCCTGCATGTAAAATGAAGACATACAGGAGACACTGCTGACATCATACCCCGACATGTCAAAGGACGCAGACGCCAATTTACTCCAACTATCTGGTGGACTGTTAACAAAGCTGATGTGCCACTGAATTTGACTTTTAGCAGCTACACTGAAGTGTCGTGTGAGTCACAGGCAGCTCAACCAATGAGCTTTGGTTTAATTAAATTTAAATTTTAAATTTAATTTAAAAGTTAAAACCAGAGTGCCGCTTATGTTGACTAAACGTAACTTTGAACTCTTGAAATTATCAATAAGTTTGTTTACTTTAACTTCCAATTTACCCCTGCTTTAGTTTATTTTACCCATGCTAGATAATAGTTGCAAATAAATAGAATTCTTTATTTTTTTTATTCTTATCTATTCCTATTTTAAGTTGTATTCATATGTCTGGTGATCAATAAAGGACTCTCTTATTTTACTCAGTGCAGGAGTTGACATCATGAATTCGTCAAGCCCCCTTCAAAGTCCAAATGATAACTGACCATTGGGTTTGTTTTTATGTCTCTTGTGCATTACATGCACTTTAGTGATGAGCATTGTGTCTTGGTTTTGGACAGCTGAAGAGAGACAGGACATTTTGGGAAGAGAGGGGGAGGGCTTGATATGAGGCAAAGTGCAGAGGTTGGATTTGAACCCACAGCCACTGTGATGAGGACTTCAGCCTCTGTATGTGGGGCACGTGACATAACCACTCGGCTATCCAACACCCCAAAAAGTGTTTATGGATTTCTACCTATGTAAACTGCAAATATTCTTCATCCTCACTTGAAGGAAAAAAAAACAAAGCATTGTTCCTCTAGCATCACTACACGTATGATACCTGATGATATAGGCCAATGTACAAAATGTAACCGTGCTCAGGCCTAGTTGGGCTAATGTGAGTGCTGGCCAGCAGGGGACTCGGGACATGGGACAGCTGGTTTGAAATTTTAATTAATGTAACCAAAAATACACAATTTTATTTATTCTAATGTTCTCTTTTTTAAATGGCAAAATAAGTGCATGAAAGAAATAGTATTGTCAGTGTTTTCCAAGCTGTTAAACCCAAATGAGAACATAAATCCTACGAATCTACAGCAGCACCAAATTTATAAAAGAAAGTCTGTTTTATTTCTCTACAGAATAACAAACATCCAGAGTGCAGCTAAGCAGTCACCCAAGATTCAGCTTCCACAGCGCAGTTCAGCAGCGCTGGAAGCTGTGCAGATACGAAAAAAGAGCTCGCAGAGTTCTGGAGACCGACTCAGTCAGTCCAAGTCCATGGTCCTGCAGGAGTCAGACCTGCCTCCGAAACCAGTATGTAGACATATGGTTCAGTATGTAGACACATCCTAATGTTATAGACACATCTTACAGTATGTAGACACATCCTAATGATGTACACACATTTTACAGTATGTAGACACATCTTACAGTATGTAGACACATCTTACAGTATGTAGACACATCCTAATGATGTACACACATTTTACAGTATGTAGACACATCCTAATGTTGTACACACATCTTACAGTATGTAGACACATCCTAATGATGTACACACATCTTACAGTATGTAGACACATCCTAATGATGTACACACATTTTACAGTATGTAGACACATCTTACAGTATGTAGACACATCCTAATGATGTACACACATTTTACAGTATGTAGACACATCCTAATGTTGTAGACACATCTTACAGTATGTAGACACATCCTAATGATGTACACACATTTTACAGTATGTAGACACATCTTACAGTATGTAGACACATCCTAATGATGTACACACATTTTACAGTATGTAGACACATCCTAATGATGTACACACATTTTACAGTATGTAGACACATCTTACAGTATGTAGACACATCTTACAGTATATAGACACATCCTAATGATGTACACACATTTTACAGTATGTAGACACATCTTACAGTATGTAGACACATCTTACAGTATATAGACACATCCTAATGATGTAGACACATCTTACAGTATGTAGACACATCCTATTGATGTCCACACATCTTACAGTATGTAGACACATCTTACAGTATGTAGACACATCCTAATGATGTACACACATCTTACAGTATGTAGACACATCCTATTGATGTCCACACATCTTACAGTATGTAGACACATCTTACAGTATGTAGACACATCCTAATGATGTACACACATCTTACAGTATGTAGACACATCCTATTGATGTACACACATCTTACAGTATGTAGACACATCTTACAGTATGTAGACACATCCTGATGATGTAGACACATCTTATAGTATGTTGACACATCTTACAGTATGTAGACACATCTTACAGTATGTAGACACATCTTACAGTATGTAGACACATCCTGATGATGTAGACACATCTTATAGTATGTTGACACATCTTACAGTATGTTGACACATCTTACAGTATGTAGACACATCCTGATGATGTAGACACATCTTACAGTATGTAGACACATCCTAATGATGTACACACATCTTACAGTATGTAGACACATCCTAATGATGTACACACATCTTACAGTATGTAGACACATCTTACAGTATGTAGACACATCCTATTGATGTCCACACATCTTACAGTATGTAGACACATCTTACAGTATGTAGACACATCCTAATGATGTACACACATCTTACAGTATGTAGACACATCTTACAGTATGTAGACACATCCTAATGATGTACACACATCTTACAGTATGTTGACGCATCCTAATGATGTACACACATCTTACAGTATGTAGACACATCTTACAGTATGTAGACACATCTTACAGTATGTAGACACATTAGTCACAGCCCCTCCATTTTTTTTAGATCTCTCGGCATCGCAGAAATCAGTCCCAACACAATGTGGTCGTCCCAGGAAGTGGAGCGTCTGTTTTGGAACCATTTGTAAGTTTGAAACTAAACCCAAGACCAAAACATTATTGTAGTTCTGTTATCGCCTATTCCCAACACGAAAAAAACAAAATGAGAATATCAGGACAGGACAAGGTTATTTCATCACAGAGTCACCAAATCACAAAGTATTGAATAAATGAATAATTCATCAACAGAAATCTGTCAAATTTCATCTGTGTGTGTCCATGTGTTTTTTTGTGTGTGTGTCCATGTGTGTGTGTCCATGTGTGTGTGTGTGTTTGTCCATGTTTGTGTCAATGTGTGTGTTTGTGTGTTTGTCCATGTTTGTGTCAATGTGTGTGTGTGTGTGTGTGTGTGTGTGTGTGTGTGTGTGTGTGTGTGTGTGTGTGTGTGTGTTGTGTGTGTGTGTGTGTGTGTGTGTGTGTGTGTCCAGGTGGGACTAAAAGGTGAACACCTGAATGTGACCAAGATCTCAGAGAGCGGTAAGAAGCAGAGGAAGAATTGGACTGTGATGTGGAGTGTGCTGACGACAGACCAACTGCTGTTTTATAAAGAAAAACAACATGAAAGTAGTCAGGTAGATGATATTCATCTCTGTTTCATCTCTACTGTGTGGATAATCATTTCGCCTGCTTCAGCTCCTCCTGCATGTTTCTGGGTCTGTGAGATAAAATCAAAGAGGTGCAGGAAGGGGGGGGGGGGGGGGTCAGAAGAGGTGAAAAGGTTTACAAAATATTTCTCCTTTAAGTTATAATAATACATCTCCAGTGAAGCAGTTTCATTCTCTTAGTTGGAGAGGCAATTTCCAATATGGTTACTGCCATCTTGGTATTCATACCATGTTTTCAGAAACCCATGGGTGACATCACCAAGACTGCGTCCATATTTTAATCTATCTGGGATAGGTTTAGGGTTAGGGAGGGAGAGAGAGAACAAGAGCGAGGGCAAGAGTCAAACAAGGTCAGCACTAGGAAATTCAACTGGTCAGGTACAAGTACGGTCAGTATTATACAGATGTTTGTACAAACATGTTCTTTATCATTACCTTGTCCGTTTCTTCTACTCTCTATAATGTGTTTCATATAGAAATTCTTGAAGTAGTTAGGTACCACAGTCTTTCTTTTCATAAAGTGACACAGTCTGATATTTTCTCAGTACACGCTTTACTTTATCTCTACTTTTTGAAATTTGTATCTGCATTACCTTGACTTCATGTCTTGTCCTCTTTAACTTGACTTTAAGCGACTTTTGACCTTGTGTCTGTGTTCAGAAAACAAGTAAGACAGACGTGGTCCACCTGTGTGGAGCTCTAATCCAGTGGACCACAGAGAAGTCAAGCAGGAAAAATGTTTTCCAGGTAATAAACTGATCAGCATATTTTACAGACACAGTTTCTCAGTTACAATGTTTGACATGTTGTCGTTGTGCTATTTCAATAAATATGGGATCTAAATCATCACATTCTGGTTATATGAACATTTTACACATCGTCTACTTTTCACATTATCATCATTACTAATGCCTTTTTCCCAAGAGGTACCTGTTTGAATTGAATGAAACATTTTCCTCTTGTCCAGATCACAACAAACACAGGGAGTGAGTACCTCCTGCAGACTGACTGCTACTCCACTGCCGGTAAATGGTACGACGCCATCAGAAAGAGCGTCGACTCTTCGGTAACAACGCCATTCTTTTCCGTCTCTGAGAACATTGTTCATAAAAACTATCAATCCAAGTTTCTCAGAGTCCAAACTTTAAAGTCTACTTCATACAATCAGATCTCCAAAATAAAGGCCTCTGTTTTTGGTTCTAATTGTATTTTGTTTAGACAAAGTCAGACGGAGGTTTTTCTCTGCGGAGATCAAACAGCACAGATTTCCTGCCCAGACACAGCTCCCTACCTGGACATGGTTCTGCTTCCCCCAGCAGCAAGCAACGCAACCCGGTGCACCGACGCTCCATCAGTGAGTAACTGATCACATGCACTGGCACTGATATGTTAGAAAACTATTCTATTAACTGGCCTGTTCTCGTCATTGTTGTGTTGTTGTTGTGAACTCTGGGGTTATTTGATCAACATAGCTAAAGAAAACCAAGCTCACCTGGAAAAGTCTCTCAAGCTGTTCCATGAACGCCATCCAGCCTTAATGAATCAGGGCTAACTTTCAAAAGCTGAGCCGACGCTGCTGATTGAGCTGTTCCAACAATTTATGTGCTCTTTTAGGAAGGTTGAAGACCTGCATTTTGTATCATCTGCAGGGGTTTGATAGTGCATGTAGGAAGACCTGCCAGTAGAGAGTTGCAATAGCCAATGTGTGATATCACAAGAACCTGTACCAGGAGCTGTGTAGCATGTTCTGACAGGTAAAGTCTGATCTTCCTGATGTTGTACAGGGTAAAGTGACATGACCGGGCAATCGAAGCCACTTGAACCTTAAATGTTAGCTGGTCATCAATCATGACACCCAAGTTCCAGGCAGACTTTGTGGGCATGAGTTTGGTTGTTCCAAGCTGGATATTGATCTGTGGTTGCATAGGGGGACTGGCTGGGATGACAAGGAGCTCAGTCTTTGAAAGGTTGAGTTGAAGGTGGCGTTCATTTATCCATTTAGAGATATCAGCAAGGCATGACGACATTCTTGCTGAGACTGTAACATCGTCTGAAGGGAATGACAGGAAGAGCTGGGTATCGTCAGCATAGCAGAGGCATGAGAAGCCATGAGAGCGGATTATTGAACCAAGTGAGCTTGTGTATATGGAGAAGAGAAGGGGACCAAGCACTGACCCTTGGGTTACCCATGTGGATAAACTGTGTGCTTTGGACACTCTAAGATCGCCCAGAGAGGTAGGACACGAACCAGCAGGGGGACGATCCTGAGATGTCAGAGAGCGTGGATAGGAGGATTTGATGGTTAACTGTGTTAAAGGCAGCAGACAGGTCTAGCAGTAATAGAACTGAGGACTGACCCGTAGCTCTGGCAGCTCGTAACAATTCTGTTACCAAGAGTAGTGCAATCTCAGCAGAGTGGCCCTGCTTAAAGCCTGACTGATTTAGGTCAAACAGATCGTTTCTGGACAGGAACTCAGAGACTTGATTAAAGACAGAAATGGCAGAAGTGAAACCAGTCCGCAGTTGGCTGGGTTGAGTGTGGGATTTTTAAGCAGAGGGCTGAACCAAGCTTGCTTGAAAGCAGTGGGGAACACACCCTTTGACAGAGAGGAGTTGATTATATGAATAAGTGCAGCATTAAGTGGAGAGGAAATGGTCTGCAGGAGGCTTGATGGTATTGGGTCGAGAGCACAGGTGGTGGGCTGAGAGTCTAGCATAAGCTTAGAGACTTTGTCCTCGGTCATGTTCATGATGTAGCTAATAGTGTGTGGATGTTGTTGCTTACAGTGTGTCAAAGTTGAAGCTAACAGTGTGTGGATGTTGAGTTTACAGACTGAAACATATCTTTTTTTAAATGTATATTTTTTTTAAACTTCTTTATTTCAATTTCATGTTTGTGTTTTTCTGCAGACATGTTTGGCAGCTCAAAGCTGAAACACAGCACGTCAGACAGCGCAGACAAGAATGGAGTAAAAAACCGACTGAAAAAGTTCATCATCAGACGTCCGTCCATGAAGACTCTGCAGGAAAAAGGCCTCATCAAAGGTTCCTTTCACAATAAAACTCAGTATTACTCAATTCATTTTTGACTGTGTATGTTAGTCAGTCATTGAGCTTACTGCTACATCTAAATGCTTAAATAAATATGTTTTCATCAATCCCTTCATTATCAATAAAACCTTTGGATGTAAAATGACAGATCGAGTTTTTGGCTGCCATCTGTTGACTCTCTGCGAGCGAGAAGGAAACACGGTGCCAAGGTTCGTTCAGATCTGTGTAGACGCCGTGGACAAAAGAGGTACGTTCAGAATCCATTCATCATAACATCAATCAGTCAGTTTATAACTCAATCAATCAATCATTCAGTCAGTCGGTCGCTGGGTCAATCACTGTTTGTTTAGTCGTTCACATGCTGGATTCAGTTTGATTTTAGATCTATGACTTAATAATCGTAGCCTTTCCCTTGAGTCGATTTGGGCAGCTCACTCATGATTGGTCCACGATTGAAATGGTTCTGTGATGAAGAATGAAGAATTGATGAACAACATGGAATGATTAAAGCATCGTTAATTCATTCTGAATGATTTAATGATGGACTTTGGGGGTTTGTCAGGTATGGAAGTTGACGGGATTTATAGAGTCAGCGGGAATCTCGCCACAATCCAGAAACTGCGCTTTGTTGTTGATCAAGGTCAGTAAAGCAGAAATCTTAATTTCCTGTCTGAAAATATTATTGTAGTCAATATATATTATTGTAACCCTAACCCTATCAGGATCGACCACAAAGCTGATAAAATGTTGATACTGAATATCTGATGAGTCTTCAAACAGAAATGTTTTTAATATTAAATAAATATACTGTAAATTGAAATCTGGGAATAACCAAATAAAGCCTCCTTTTGCTCTGGTCCAACCCCTCAGAAGAGGAGCTGGACCTGGACCAGGGTCAGTGGGAGGACATCCACGTGGTCACCGGAGCTCTGAAGATGTTTTTCCGTGAGCTTCCTGAACCGTTGTTTCCCTTCAGGTTCTTCCAGCTGTTTGTGGATGCCGTCAGTAAGTCCAACATGAAACATATCTGTCTGAATATTTAGGTTTATTTGTTATGTTCGTAGTCGTACAGTTTTTTTATTGGACAGAAGGAACAAAAGACAAAGCGTGTGAACATGTGACCAGTTTGACGATCTCAGATTGAGCTGAGACGTCAGCAAGGAGAACAATGATCAGCACCTTTATGAACTTTAGATGTCTGTGATATGAAAAGATCTTTTACTGTGTGATCGTGTATTTATTTCATGTTTATTTGTAAACAAGTATGAAGCAGGTAAACTGATGCCACGCCACAACATTTATAACCTGAGCTAATCTGCAACGCCCGCCTCTAGATGGGCCTTAAAATCACATCAAACTCAACAACAAAACCAAAGAAGAAAAGACAGAACAACACAGGATACAAAGTATGGTTCAATGAAACAAAGTCAAAAAGGAAGAGCAAGACTGAGTGTAATACTGTCAGTCTGAAACTATACAATTCATATGTGTATGTAAAATAGGAGACTGTGATTTGTCTTTTTATAGTCTATAAAAGAATATTTGATCAAATGTCATGAATATAGAAGACAAATGCTGTTATTATCAAGGAACAGACTGAAGTGTGTTCAAACTACAGACTTTATCAATGTTACACTATAACTTCCTTCTTATTGTACTGTTGGTGCAGCTGGAGAAACTAGCGGCAGGTAGCAGTTAGCAGAAGTCCAAGATAGCTGGTTAGCATCAGATAGTTGACAGACAACAGAGCGAGGGTTCACAATACTTAACAAGGACCATACAACGCCACGTCTCAGGCGATATGCTCACTCATCATACTTGAGCAGTAAAATATAGACATTACCTTTCACTGTCTTACACACAGGCAAGATTTCTCTATCATAAACTTAAGACATAACAGAGGCACCACCTTATGGCGCGATTTGGTACTACAATGATATCCAACGTTAATGTAATGCTGCTGATTTTTAAACAGAGATCAAAGAATCCAAACCAAAAGTTCAGGCTGTGAAGAAACTGATTCAGGAGATGCCAAAACCCAACAAGGACACCATGAAGCTGCTCTTCAGTCACCTGCACAGGTAACGAAAAAAGACCTGAACAGTCTGTAAAGCCGTTCACACATGTTCCTCACAGCGAGGATATTTCCTTCACTGTAGGACAATCAAAGAGGCAGGACATGACGAAAAAAAAGAACGCAGCAGAAGTATCAGTCGAAGCAACAGAGTCCTCTATAAGACTATAAAGAGCTATAAAGAGAATATTTGTCTTTCTATCAATACTACGTGTAGTTGAACAGAATCACAATCTGAACTAAAGAGTGGAGAAGAACATACTGGAGAACAGGAAACATAATGCAGCAGGTTCATTAGAGCACGGAGATCGTAAAGGTGGCGTGCAGTATATGGTCGTGCAGTGATCACAGGGAATAAACGTCACCAATCCCTCCCACTTGCTCCAGGTGAATTCTCTTTATTATATTATAAAAGAGCTGATGGTTTCCGGATACCACTCTTGAGACCTCAGTGATGTTTGAACCTTTAGTGTGGTTTTAGGATATGCAGACGCCACAGGATCTCTGGTAAGAACATGGGATGACAGTGTGACACACACTCTCTCTTTGAGATGCCACTCATTTATTTAAGAACAGCAAGTATGTTTTTAGGGAACATGAAGTGAATTGAAGTGAAGTGAAGATAAGTGGTTCCTACAATGACAGAAAAATAATAAACAAACATTAAATATATGCATGAATAATAAACAAACATGATATAAAAACACTCAGATTATAGAATTAAATAAACAGACAAACAATGCTTGAAACGATATAAATCCCCCTAACTTGAGGGAGCGTCAAAAAATTACTGTCTCTATGCAGTAAAAATATAAACTAGCGGAGCGCACACAGGGGGAATTGAGGGACGGTCCCTTACTTCACATGAGCGTAAGCAAACACAGAGCTGACTGAAAACAATTACACTTGGACGGCCCAATATAAAGAATGTAAAGGAAACCTTCAGGAATTATTAAATATACAAGAAAAGCATTGATTACAAAAGTAACAAATGTGAAATATGTGAAATGAATGAGAAAATGTCCATCGCGATATAGGCTAACAGTCTTGCTAAATGTGTTGTAAACGTGATATAGACAACAATAGCGGTACCAACTACAAATTAAGAACATCAACATAAAAGTTTACAGGAGAACTATAACATGCATGAACTTACAGTCTCATGGACGCACAGAAGTTAAAATGATAAATAAGCAGTACAGAGAACCGAGGTGAGGGGTGCAGTCATCTTCTCTGTGTGATGCTTTGATGAGGTGTAATTAGGTGGACAGGATGGAAAGGGTCTGAGGTCAGTGATAGGTGCAGGGCATTGTTAACGTGCATGGGATGTTCAAGGGAAAATAAAGTGATGGAAATAAGAGTATTTTAACTGAAAACTATGGAAACTGGGGGACCTTCCACACATACATCCTGCTGCATTCTCACATCAGCTCACTCTGACTCTCTGCAGAATAGATACGAGGAGGCTGGAGGAGAAACTCTGAGTGTCACATCTGAACAGTCAGAAGACACTAAGAAAAAAAGGGTTATCAACATATGGATGGACAGATTTACTAAAGTGCAGACTTAACTTTTTTTAAATTAACTTTAAATCAATTATTGATCATTGAAGTAATTTGACAGAATTTAATCTCTAAAATCACGTACTAGAAACTAATGCCACTTTTTGTGAGTGTATAAATATTAATGTTACGGCCGCTAGTTTGATGCCCAGCTCTTCTTCTTCACGTGTTTCAGTTTGAGCATGAGGATGAAGATTAAAGGGTTAAATCATGTAACGTCACGCTGTCTGTTTTTTGCATTAATATAAAACACTAATTTAAGCTTTGATAAAGGTATTGGGTCTAATTATCTCTGTCCATGTTTTTCATGCCGTTTTTTAGAGTTCTGGCATTTTCCAGGAAGAACCTGATGTCGACTCAGGGCATCGGCATCGTGTTCGGCCCCACGCTGATGTGGCCCGAGCTGGACGCGGGAAACATGGCGGTCAACATGGTCTATCAGAACCAGATCGTGGAGTTTATTCTGATCGAGAGCCGGGAAATCTTTAACCTGGACACCAAGTGACTTGTTTAGACAAAATAGAACCAAGCGTAACAAAGTCCTTTTTTTTTCAGGTAACAAAACGAGCACCTGGTTTGGACTGCACTGTAAAAAATAAAATGGGAATTAAAATTAAAGTTGGAAGACAATTTTATTTACACAAACGTATCAGTGATTACCATGCAAGTAAACACAGTCTGTTTTATTCTCATAGACATCCATCTTTATTTCTACACCCTAGCCCTTATTTATTTCGTTTTAAAGATTTTGTAAAGACAAAAGAACACAAACAGCTGTTTGAAGAGTTCTTGATTTATTAACAGTTTAAAAACGGATACACAACCCCATGTTCATGATGCGTTCAGGGGAATCCATTACGATACAAACACGGTTGTTCATGTTCATGATGCGTTCAGGGAATCCATTACGATACAAACACGGTTGTTCATGTTCATGATGCGTTCAGGGAATCCATTACGATACAAAACACGGTTGTTCATGTTCATGATGCGTTCAGGGGAATCCATAACGATACAAACACGGTTGTTCATGTTCATGATGCGTTCAGGGGAATCCAGCACGATACAAACACGGTTGTTCATGTTCATGATGCGTTCAGGGAATCCATTACGATACAAACACGGTTGTTCATGTTCATGATGCGTTCAGGGGAATCCAGCACAATACTAACACTGTTGTTCATGATGCGTTAACTTTATATAACATTATGAACATTTTGGTTTCCATAACAGCACATGAAAAAACAGACAACACAAACACAACATTATTTTATTTCTTCAACTCTGAATTAAACACTCTATCAAACATTATCAACATCTAACGCTTAGCTAAACCCTTTAATAAACATTCACAAATTATTTTAACCAAGTTAAATAACTCTTTATCATACCAAATATTGAGAGAGCACTGATCGGCCGTTAAGGAGGAGGACAGAGAGCACTGACTGTTAAGGTGGAATGATTTTATACAAAAATATGTAGGAATTCAGTTTGGTTCACTTTTGCGCCTACCGATGGTCTCTGAGTGAAACTGCACTGTTGTGCATGAATTGCCAATCACAGGCCGGAGAAGTCTTCAAAAAGATTGTGAGAAGCCAAAGATCAGTCGACTGAAGAAGGTTAGTAATGTTACGGGATTAAGATCAAATCAGACTTTGCTAGCATCTTCAGCCCATTGTTTGCTAACTGTTAGCATGTGGAATATGTGTATTCAACTGTTACCATGCCGACTATAGCTCGTTGTACAGACAACTTCTAGGTGTCAGATGGATTTATTTATTTGTATCAAGGTTAGACAACTTTCTGCAGCAGAGAAAGCTGATAAACATGAGACAGCAATGATACCTATAACAATACAGCCTAAGGTAATGTCTGAATCTGTTCTAGATAATTTACTAATCCAGCAGAACCTCATATAGATAACTAACCTCATTAACACATGGAGCACAGGGGATTGATCGAAATGTTTAGACAGTGGTTGGGTGTCTCAGGGTTCTGTCCTGGGCCCTTCCTTACTTTCTTTTTTATCTTTGAGGCACTTTGTAAGAACTTTTATGTAAGAACGTTCTGCTTGACTCTATAAAAGCTTAAAAGTCATGCCTTTGTTTCATCAAGTCTTGATTCTCTGTTCACATGTCTTAGCATCACATCATTGAACCGCCTATAAGTGTTCAAAAATGCTCTTGAAAAGTGCTGTATAAAACAACTTTACTTACGTACTTAATTACAAGTGTAAATGAGATAAATTAATATCTGCAGGGATGTTGACTGTCTCTCTCACACTCTCTCTCTCCCTCTCCTCTTATCTTCCTCCGTCTCTGTCCTCTTCCTCTTATCCTCAGCCGTCTTATCAAACAGTACAGAGACAGGCTAACTGGCTGCTTTGTAGCTGAAGGCTGCTGTGTGAACTAACGGCGTAAAGACGTACGCACTTCTCTCCAGATGACCTCGGGCCGCTGCCAAAGTTATATAGTGCTGAAAACAGGCGAGCAGGGTGCTCTGTGGACATGAGAGAGACGCCATTCTCCCTGTTGGAGGTTATTGTTCTATTAGATCGGCTTTGAAACGACTGATTGAGGGAGGAGGAGTTACAGAGTGTTGCTTTAAGGTTGAATAGTTGTTAAAGTAAACATTGTTAAGGTGGAATTAATGTTAAGGTGAGCAGTTGTTAAGGTTGAATGGTTGTTAAGGTGAAATGGTTTTTAAGGTTGACAGTGGCAGAATTGAGGAGTCTTGTTTCAGGAAAGGCAGAAAGGTGATATTCAAACATCCAGACACGGAAACTGAAGCCAAGTTGTCAGCAAACTGTGAAGACAGAACAAGATGAAAATGAATTATTTTTCATGTTTAATGATAATGGTAAGCTGATTTATGAAATATTTACTGACACAAGAAACAATAACGTCAAAACCTTTACTTTTAGTGTCAGGCAGGGCTGCCCTCTGAGTCCCCTGCTGTTTGCCATAAGCATAGAATCCAAAAATAATAATTCTAAAGGTCTGGAACAAAGAGGCATCGCCCTGCTTTGAGGCCTGGCTTATAGACTCCTCTAGCACCTTATATATGGAGAGGATCAGATATGAGTTGTTGGGCAAAGCAACCAAGTTCAGACATATATGGCAACCCTTCCTTGACTACATCACAGCTCTTAGAGGACCCACGTGACACCTCAATGCCTTTCCTTTTCAGTTACGCAGTATAATTGCACAAAGGATGACCATAGCAATGTGTAAATTAGAGTACTACACAGATGATGTGTGTATTTAACTTTTTTGTCTGTTTTATGTGTATTTTGCATTTTGGGTTTATAATGTACATACATTTTGTATATATATATATATATTTTTTTGTTTCTGTGAGTTTGTAGAGTGGGATGTGGGGAGGTGGGTACTGTTCTTTGTTAACCTTTTGAATGTTTTATGTCTTCAGAAAAAGCTATAAATAAAGTATTTAAAACAAAAAGCCTGAAGATATGAAAGAACATCTACAGAAATCAACATTTCTGAACCTCATTGTTATTTAAAGATTGTAAATATTGTTTAAAACACTCAGTTTCTGTATCTGCTATGGTTGCTGTTTTTATCCACATGGTTGTTTTGGTTGCTGATAGGGCTGCTGAATTATGGCAAAAATCCTTGTGGTGGGGCTGTCTTTCAAACACCCCAAAAGAGCCCACTCACACTTTGAGGGGTTGAGGGTCAGCCGAGCCTGCTGGATTTTCACAAGAACCAGGGACAGATGTTGTACATAATCCTCCCAGCTATTGCTGTGGATGTGAATGTGGTGTGAATATGTGACATGCAGTGTAAAAGCACTTTGAGTAGTCAGAAGACTAGAGAAGCACTATACAAGCTTAAGTCCATTTACCATTTTACCATTTCAGTCTTTGACAGGTGGTTGGTTCTCCATGGAAACCGAATGGCATCACCTTTTAGTGTAAGAGACCTGGGGCCTTTACAACGAAGCAGGATTTGGGGAAAGCGAGGTCACTTCAGGGTTAGGGTTTTCAATCCCACGAAGGTCATTCACTTCTTACCTGGGTATATCGACACGGTAATTTATGCTGCACGCATAACCTGCTCGGGAGCTGATTGAGAGGGGGGAGGAGGGAGAGAGACCCTTCACGTGTCCCTTATAATAACATTATAGTCCATAAAGTGAATGATTATTTTGAACTGATATCATCCTTGATCATTCAACAGAGACTAAAAAAAGCACCGGAGCCTTTGAGTTGTGTTTTTAAGACATTAAATTGTGAATATCTTGTATTTGAATGATATTTTCATATGAATGTTTGGGTGCCGCTCTGTTTGTTATCATCAGAGCTGAAATATAACTTCTCAAACTGTTATACTCGCCACATGAAAGAGTCAGAGACACACATTCAGTGAAGAGAAAAAACAGGAGTTATTATAGTCAGTTCTAAGGTGAAGTAACGATGGGACTGAAATATAATAATCTTTTTCTGCCAGTTGTCCTTCCTGCATTTGTTCCTGCAGCTGTGTAACTTTAGTCTCTGGGAACCTGTTTGTCTTAAAATTCTTTATTTTATTAATATTGTTTGTTCAGATATGACGATCTGCTGACGGGAGACGCAGTTATGATTGTGATAGGTTATATGAAGCTAACTCCGCCCCTTTTATGTGAATGCGCTCTCTGAAACTCTGGGTTTACCTATCAGGTTGATATGATTGTTAATCATGGTGTCTTATGTTAGGGTTGGTGAAGCCAGATAACCCAAAGATACCAGCAGAGCCATCCCTGTAGACTCCACTATGTGCTTCTTCCACTCTTTCAGAAGGTTCACATGGTAGGTCTGTTTTCTCACCAGGGGAACAGCAGTGGAACAGAACTGCTGTCCATATGTCTCTGGAGAGATATCAAATTAAGCAGGGCTGCTCTCAAGTCTGTGTAGCATCAGGCCCTCTCCTTGTCCATCGCAGTGTAGGCCAACAGTGCCTTTACAGTCAGAAGTGGAACAAGCCGGCAGGCCCACTCACTCTAAGGCCATTTCTAGGTCATGGCTATTTGCTCATATGCAGCAAATAGTTCTCGATGTCCTCCCCCATCGTATTGTGGAATTTTGAGGTCTTGGTAGTGCTTCCACTCTGGCCTCAGATGGTCAGGTCTATTGCTGGCATCCTGAAACTCAAAGTAAGGAGTCTCAGATGCTGACTCTTGATGTCCTTGCAGGGGTGCTGGGGTTAGCAGTTCAAATATTGGGCTGTTCGCAGTGGCTGTATGTAGAGTGTGGCATCGACTGGCCTGTTCTGCCCTTGTGGTGTAAGAGTCTGTCTGGGCTGGGACACAGGTTGACAAGGCTCCTCAGCCCCTGGAAGAAAAGCCCTCAGGCCTAGGATCTCTGCCAACAGGCCGTCCTCTGTCCTTTACTGTGCTGCCAAACAGTCTCTAATCAAAACCACAAGCATCCCCCTGCTTCACCTGCAAATGCTGGGCCCTTAGAAGCCAAAGCAATTTGCTTGGAAATAGGCTCACTAGTCTTAATTCTCTTTTTGTTATTTATTTTTAGCCAGCATCCCAAGGTGCGGTGAAAAAGAGACAGGAAGTATTAGGAGGAGAGAGTAGAGGATAACATGCAGCAAAGGGCCGACGTCAAA